GTAATTAAAATATGCATGGGTGTCAAGTGAAAGAGGTTTAAGGAGGTTATAATTTGAAAATATTTTGAAGAGTGTTGCCACCTGTTTTAATAGTCGAATTTAAGTTAACTATACACACGTTATATGGAATATATAACATTGAAATATGGATGTCAAAGGAAAAGTAATACAAGATATTGTTTTTTAACATTTAGAGTATTTTAGAGGTGGCAAATCTATCTGTTTAAAAACTTCAACTTAAATTATGTGTCGAAATATGGGTTTCATTGGAAAAAGTTTTACGAAGATTTTGGTTTGAAAATATTTTAAAGGGCGCTAAGAAAAAGAAAAAAATTTTAATTTCCTATGCGTTTGGCTGAGTTTAAGTACATATGTATGTTGTGCTTAGGGATGTTAATTTTTTCGCTTTTTGCGATCCCGGGATTATCGGGATGTCGTTATCACAATCACGTGTCCCGGGATCAGTCCCGGGATTTAGATATTCGTTACTTCTATCTCTCCTACCATACAATAAATAATAAATAAATGGGTTTGAAACCTACTTTTTTATTTGAAGTGGCGTTTTTTTTAATCTCTCTGACGTAAGGATTAATTTTAAAGGACTTTGTAATTTCAAAGATATGATTACTTCCGAAAATTGTTTAAAAAATTGAATGCAAAGTAGAATAAAAATATGGGAACCAAATGAAAGAAGAATTCTTTCGAATTTCAGAAAATTCAAACTTTTTAAGCTGATAAAGTTAGCAGCACGAAATTCGAGAATGTTAACGAGTTTATATAAGTCCTTATATATAATTTTTTCAAAAACAAATATTGCGAAATTCCAATGCTAAAATTTTAAAGGGAATTTTTCAATTCTTACTAGTGCTTATGCACCAAAAAATTTAATCTGATTAAATTCTGCAGAATTTACTCGTTAATTTGATATCAGCATTTCTTCTCTAAGCACATTTCACTAAATTTTTTAAATCATTTTTGAATTACTGACGCCAGAGGGAAAAAATAAAAATGCAATTTTACTGTATTTGGCCATGGTGTCGCGAATATATTGTATTTGTGTGTAAAATATGCTATCGCACTGTATTATATGCATAATGAGCTAGACATTTATAAAAAAAAAACAATAATTATTAAATAAAAAAAGAAATATAGCCAATACTGGTCAAGAAAAGGAGTCTATTTTTACCATCAGTGAAAATTACAAATCCCGAAATTCCCGAGATTATTTGCCAAGAATTCCGGGATTTTCGGGAAGTAACATACCCAGTTGTGATGTATTGTAATAACCTACTTCTAATGTAACACGCAGAAATTTCACACACTCAGCGAAGCCGGTGAGGAATAACTACATACTGTCTTATAAAAATCTATCTGTTTTCTATTTTTCTGACAGGCTTTCTTCTTTTATTTGCATGCCATACTCATCTCCGACTTTCTCCCCATAAACATTTCCATTAAAAATCGAAATACATTTAAATGCCATAAACATTCGCGCCACTGCACTCCTCAACAATGCATTGGTGTGCGTATAATAATGTGCATAATTACGCATTTTTAATTAAAGTCTAAAAAAAATTACAAATAAAATTTGCATATAATTAAATTTTACTTAATTGAATTTGAGCAAACAAAAAAAAAATGAAAAGAGTCAACTTGGCATGACTTACCACTTTGAAGCAAAAATAATTTTCATGTAGTTGCACAAATAACGCGACGGCCAGGGGTGGGGGGCGGTGCGGTGCGGTGAGGCGGAAGTGTGTGACATATTGCTGACAACTTAATCCACTTTGTCGTCGCCCATATGACAGCCAAAGCAACAAAAAAAGTAACTACGATATAAATACATATATAAATACATATGTAGGATGGTGTATATGTACTTATGTATAAAAATATACATACGTCGATGTACATATGTATGTATACGCCGATCAGCATTCGAATGATGATTGAGTAGATAAAAGATGCGCAATCAGTGGATAAAAAGGAAAATGCAAAGCAAATGAGTTGCGGTGGTGGCACATGTAGATATGTATGTAGGTGTGTATGTACTACTAACAACAAAGTGCGTGGATGGAGGTGTGTCGTTCGATGGGCGTTGGGCGAAAGCAACGGCACTTTATGCAAATATGCGCACAATATGTCATTACGCTGACATTGATGATGACAATTCCAATGATGGCACCCAACGGCCAAGGGTGGGAGCATAGCTGTGATGATGTACATATACATTCATATATATACATATATATATATGTGAAAGTACATATATAGTTACGCGACGCTACGTCGAATCTCTGATTGCAGCGGGATGTTTCCGCACAGATCACTTTTGCCACCGCGCAGTGTTTTATAATTAAATAGAGCCATCATTTTTTACGTATGGGGCGCGCATAGTACCCAAACACACATACCCTTTTAAGATTACTTATATATATATATATAATATGTATGTATGTTTACATGAGCACATAAATGAATATGTCTATGTTTATGCATATGTATAAACTTATATAAGTGTATATACATACAAACATACATAGACAATTTCCTCACATACATATACAGGCTATGGGTGTAATGAAAAATAACTGCTGACTACAGGAAAATTCAATTTATATGCAAATACGGGTGTACGTTCATCTAAAACAAAAAATTATGCAGCCGTCTATCATGACGAAACCTCAAGCGGGGCGGTTGACGGAACAAGAAAAAAAATAGGTACAAAGAAGATTGTGATATGCGGTTGAGAATTAAGCAAATACTATGTATGTAAGCTTATGTATATAAATATGTACATAATGCAAATATCAACGCAAATGTGAATATTAATTTGATAAGCTCTAAGCAAATAAATTTGTAAATATGGAATTGAAATCAATGGAATGAAATGAAGAACGAATACGTAATACTCAGGTATGTGCATTAGGGCAGCTCGGATTTTTTTCCGAAAGTCGACATGCATAACCTTTCATTTCATTAACCGACTTCCAAAAAAGGAGGAGGTTATCAGTTCGTCGGAATATTTTTTTTATTCTTTTTTTTATGCAAGTTACCGCATAACTTTGGACCACGTTAACCGATTTCTTTTTGCATCGTAAAGGTAGTGTCTCAGAGGTGGTCCCATACTAATCTGATTTAGATCCGATTACTTGATCGTGATATATATATATATAGATATGTATATATTTTTAAGTCGGTTTTTTTTGCTAAAAATTACTTGTTTGTATACTACTTTTAACCACTATATTATACTACTTGCACTATATTATAATATGCACAGGACGCAGTTCAAGGACCTAAAATTTTGCGATGTCTTCCCAAAAGTTATTTTTGTGAAATATCAGAGAGGATCTAAAGATTAAATACAAAGGAAATGTGGCTGGCAAAACTATAAGAGAGAAACTGTCTGAAGATCACTCTATTTCCATATGATTTCTTCAGCAATTTTGGAACAAATATATTTTTGCCCCAAACGCAGTGTACTACAATGCGAAGCAAAATTTTGGAGTTATTGAACCACCCTCGTATTATAAGCTTTTTGGTTTGTTGGAACACAAATATTTGTGTTAAATGTACTTCGCTGTTAAAAGTACTTTCTGCGTGTTATATTAGGTGTAATTTATTTCAATAAAACTCAACAAACATACTTTAGTTTACCCAAAAAATAGGAGACTTCTATATTTTTTAGCCCTATTCAAAATATTTTCAAACTAAATCCTTCCTAAACCTCATTTTCCCGACCCATAATGTAATATAAATGCCTTAATTTAAGTTACATTTGAATTTTTAAACAGGTGGTCACACTTATACATTTAGTTATAAATGGGAACTTTTTAAAACCATTTCAATTGATAGTCATATTTGTAATAATTCAGTTAACTTACTGCATAATTTGAATTGAATTTATGTTTTAAAGCGGTGGCTTAAGCCTCTTCAAATTCTTCAAAAACAATCATAATATTTAGCCTAAAGATTTCTCACCACTCTTTCGTTTGACACCCATATTTTTATATTTCATATACATGCATAATTTAATAAAATTCTACTTGTTAAACAAATGGCAACTCCCTTTAAAATGTTTTCAAACCACAACCTTCTTAAACCTCTTTCATCTGACACCCATATCTATTGTAATACACATTTCAGCCCTACTTAGTTCCCCAAATTCAAATTGAATTTGATTTTTTAAACAGGTGGCAACCCTCCTACATGTAGTTGGCAAGTAAAGCCTTTTCAAAACCATCTCGATTGATACCCATATTGTAATAATTTATTTCCCTTAATTGAATTTAATTGTTTAATAGATGGCAACCCTTTACATTTTCTAACCTAGATATTTATGAACCTTCTCCTCGCCGAAACAATCAGACCGCGAAAACATAGAATTTATTGGTGACAAACTTTAAGCTACTTTCTTTTATATTACATACATATGAATACACATTCATACATATATAGAATAGATGTAGTCCACAACATACAAAAAAGTAATAGATGTACTAAGGAAACAACTGGGTTTAAGCTAGATTTGTATAAAAAATTAATATGCAGGAACCTGTTTTGATTTAATACAAAAGCCTGTTAACATAAGTATTTCTTGCATGTATTCTGCATATTTTGCATATTTTTTTCATATTTTCTGCATATACAAATTTCATAGAATTCCGATGTCTAATTATTATTTTTCTAGCAGGAATAAATATTTTTATCAAAATCTTGAAGCATTTGATGTTTGAGCTTCGCTATAAATGCACGTGTTATTGAATTAATTATTTTTCATTTACTCTAAAGAAATTGTTTATCTTCCTTCTTCACCTCCTTCCCCGATTTCCCCAATCCTCCCCCGCCCTGCATCCGCCACTGATTGATTTCCCACATCACTCAATTAGGAAGACAAAAAATATATGTTAATTAAAAGTTTTAAAATTCGGTCTGTATCTAAATAAAACAAGTTTAATCAATATAGAGTAGTAAAAAAAAATATATTACAACAAAGGTTAAGTGAAGTAACGCACTTCGTAATCGTAATCGGGGCAATGCGCCGACGTTGGCGGTTTAACAGGTCTCATTGGCTTGTAGCCATATGAATGCTCTTCGCTGGAATCCTCTTCCTCACAATATCTACGCGGTGATGGTGGAGCAGGCGTCGGAGCTGGCGAATATGGCCTATAGGACTTGTGCTTTTTAAACGCAGGGGTTACAGGTGCATAGTAAGGGGAAGGAGCTGGTGGTCGGTAAGCTGGCGCAGGAGCTGGTGCAGGGGGGTGATAAGCTGGATAAGGTGCTGGTGCATAAGGTGCGGGAGTTGGTGCTGGCGGTGCATGTTTTGGCTGATAATGCGGTGCTGGTGCTGGTGTAGGCTGATAGTGGGGTGCTGGTGGTAGTGCATATGTGGGTGCTTTCGGCTCATAAGCTGGTGCAGGCTTTGGCAATTTCTTATCCTCAATTAATTCCTTTAGTTTTTCCAATTTATCATCTTTCTTCTCCAACTTTGCCGCCTCCTTCTCTTTGAAAAGGTCAAAGACTTCGAGTAGTTTATCGTCGAATTTCTCCTTTTTCGCCTCCCATTCCAGTAATTTCTTTTCAATCAGTTCACCTAGCACGTCCTCCTTTTTCTCTATTTTCTGTTCAAGCTTTTCCTTTTTCTTTTCAAATAAATTGAAAGGTTTCAGAAGTTTAATTGTGGGGAACTTCACTCTGTAATGTTCATCACTCTCATCCGGACTCGGATCCTCTTCAATGGTAATCAATTTCTTGAAGAGTGCTTCGGAGCACTGAAAGGCTGTAGTGTCACCACAAAAACAAAAAACTTATTTAAATAACGCCTCAAGCAAAACTTAAGCCTCTGTGTATTTGCATTTCTATTTACTCACCAAAAATGGCCAGTAGAGCTAGCGCCAGCTGCTTCCTTCGTTCCAAAAACATTTCTAGGTACACCTTGTGCTGTTACCCCAACACTTAATTGCCCAATATGCTTGTTGCTCTTGTGTTATATATACCTATGCATACTAAATATTTAGCCACTTTTACAAGCGCCAACCCATTTCGGAGCATTTTCCACAGATTTGTTGGAATTAGCCACTTGGCACGTTCCTAATAGTCCAAGTACTGTGTTGGTGGTGTGATAAGCGCCACTGCAGCTGTGTAGCCACGCACTCTAACCAAGTAAATGCCTGTGATAAGCCAATCGAACTTTGGTATTGCGTGACTGAATCGCAGAGGTGGCGACTTCGTTCGGGTGATAGGTATAGGCAATCTAATATATTAACTTAGTACTTAGGGCTTTTTGTAGTAGTTGGAAAGTATTTATTAAAATGCAGCACTAACTACGATGGTTTGCAGAAACTGAACTGTCATAATTTGTTGTGCTTAGGTAAACGTGGGTTGAATTTCATTGTTTGGAAGCTGAGCTTTTAAAAGTTAATATTTCAAGGTTCATAAAAATCATAAGGCTATTTTGCTTAAAGTAAGCTAAATGTTGTCACTCACTTTAGAGGACTGAACTCTCATTCCGTTTTTTTAAGTTTTCTTATAACACTATGCGACAGTCAAAATCGGGATGGGATGAAACCAACGGGAAATGTTATATCGGTAAAAAACAAGTTATACGTGGCCCGGCGTTTCGCTGGGTCAAGTCTAGGAATCGAGATATATCGATTTGAAGTTAGTAACTATCATATAGGGGAAATTGTCACCTTTGGTGGTCTTTTTTTTGACATAACTCGAGAACCACTAGTCCGATTTTGCTCAAACAAATGAAAAAAATTAAAAATTACAATTCCTTTAATTTGTTCATATAACGTTTTTCTATATAATCAACAGTTTCGATGGACGATTTTCATGATCTATGTCTCATTTTGCTTAAAGGTTATGTGACTTTGCGTGAAAGTAATACGACTTGCCTTTTTT